GTTGGAGGGTGGATATGGGCACACTAGAGTCAAACCCAGGGCATTTGGTATTCTACCACTGAGCTCTGTCCCCAGTCTTTTCTGCTTTATCTTAAAGTAGGCATTGATGAGAAGATCTTTGCCTGTTGGTGGGACTTGTTGGCTTGGGGTTCAGTGAATAAACCATTACTTGCTTAAAAAAAAAAAAAGTCCACAGCCAGGCATGGTGGCACAGTCTTGTAATCTCAGCTACTTGGGAGGCTGAAGCAGGAGGATCACAAGTTCATGTCTGCCCTGGCAATTTATTAAGACTGTGTCAAAATTTTTAAAAATAATAAAAAGGGCAGGGGGTTCTAGCTCAACAGACAAGTAGCTCTTGTTTGGCATCCGCAAGGCTCTGGGTTAGATGTCTGGTACCACCAGAAAACAAGAAAGGGCTGAACAGAACGGTTAAAAATTTGTAGATCAAAGGAGCAGTGGGAACTTGGTGGTGTGTCCCTATAATCCAAGCTACTCCAGATCCTGAGGTGGTTGGATCATGAGTTCAAGGCCAGTTTACCCAGTTTACTCAGACCTGGCTGAGACCCTGTCTCCAAAAAAATGAGATAAGCAAAAAAAAAAAAAAAAACAAATCCAGGTCCAAACAGGTAGGAGCCGAGATTTTTCTTTCCCTGCTCTCTCATGTAAACCAAGAGTTACCTCCTCGGTGGGGGACCCTACCCCTTCTTACTGCTGCCCTCCTGCTGAAAGTAAGGGAGGCAGGTTATTTTTTACCTCCAGTATCCTATCAAAAACAGGCATAAGAGTTTCTCCGGTTGATTTAACTCATGATAACTGAGATAAGTTTTCATGTTTATTAAAGGTGGAGGATTTCCAAAGGGAAATAAATGTGAGCGTAGTACCCAAATGTGTAGTCCGGCCTGAGCGCCTCTTCTGGGACGCACAGTTTCGTCTGTCTAACGTGACTCCGGGACTGGCTGCATATGGTAGACCCATGTTAGGATCCTGGCTGCTCTACCTGCAGAAGTTTTTGTCTGAGAGAACTGGCACTGGTTGGTTGGTTTGTTTTTGCCTGACGCCTTTCTTTTTTTAGTAAAGGCATGTATTTCTTTTAGGGAGTCTACCCAGCTCTAGGGAGAAGTGTGTCCATAACAAATTTGTTACATTTATTGGGGATAAGAGGGGTTTCGGTTAAACCTTTTTCCAGACCGATTTTTTAAAAATCATCTAACATACATTTTGAACTTGTTTTGGCAGGGAGAGAAAAGATAATTACTACGTAGGGAGATAAGAGGTATACACAGAAGGACCATTAATTATGCAAAGTAGCAAGTGCTAAATGTTGATGGTTAAAAGGTGTTAGTAAAAAAAAAAGGTGTTAGTGAAGTTTAGCAGGGGAAAGTATTTCTAGAAGACCTGAATCTGGCTTTTCAGGAAAGATATGACTCTGGAAAGTAAAGGAGGACATGATTTAAAAAAAAATAGATGGTAAACAAAAATAGCTTTGTTCTTCATTTTGAGTTATAGTAGAATTAGAATCAGTTGCTACAAACATTTAGGTACAATAATGCTTTTTCTTTACTTTTTACAGTCACTTGCTATTTGAAAACATTAAATTGTTATTATTACTATTTTTTGTCTTTTTGAGACAGGGTTTCACTATGCAGTTCAAGCTGGCCTTGAACTCACTTTGTAGCCCAGGCTGGCCTCAAACTTGAAGCGCAGTCCTGCTGGCTCAGCCCCCTGAGTGCTGGGATTACAGGCGTGCGCCATCACATCCAGCCTTCAATTGTGTTTTTTTTGTCCTGTTGTTTCCTACTGTGCTGTCTTGTTCTTGTTTATAAATGTGAAATACAATTACATTGTTGATTGTAAACCGAGAGCGACCCCAAGGTATGTGTGTGCTTGATGAGAACAAATCAGCCAGTCCTGAAGTTGGATTTTTTTAAACCTTTGTCAGAGTTTATCATGAAAATAAATTGTCAAGCATGTGTGCTATATATATTTTTGTTGTTTTGGGTTTTTTTGCCTTTTTGAGACAGGATCTGGCTTCCAATTTATGGTGATCCTTCTGCCTCAGCCTCCAGAGTACTGGTATTACAGGTGTGCACCACCACGGCCGGCTGCATGGGTGCTATATTCAATGTTTTTAGAAACAGTGCAAAATTTTATCCTTTAAAACTTCATTTCTGTTGTTTGGTTTATATAGTTAGCTATTAGCTTTTATGTGTGTGTATATATATATATATATATGTATATATGAGATCTTGCTCTGTAGTCAGATTTAAGAACCTCCTGCTTCAGCGTTTCAAGTGCTGGGATTCTGGGATCTCAGGTGTGCCCTATCACTATCACAGCTCTTTTTTCTTCTCCAGCAACTGTGAACCCAGCTCTTCACTGAGTAGTAGAGACAGATTGCTGTACTACTGGAGAAGCATTTGTTTTCCTGCATTGGTCAGAGTGATTAATACTTGGATGTATGATAAAAAAAATTGAAAGGCACTTTTGAAGCATAGTAAATAAGACTGGAAGATTTTCTTTAAGATTGATGAGAGGTATTTATAAAATGGCTGCCATTATTTGAAAGGTATTTATAATGGCTGCCATTATAAGTTGTGCTTCCATAGGAGCCTATTTTTTTGTGTGTCTACAAAGCAAAGATATGCTAGACAGATACACATTTCCAGGAGCCGGAGATTCTGTTAATTAAAAACAAACTTTTAAGCAAAGAAAAAAATCATAGTCATTTAGGTGAAAATCATTCACTGCATCATTCTTAGACAAATTATTGCAGCAAAGAAATTGGATCTGGCCTGTACTCCCAGCCCTCTCTGGAGGCTGAGGCAGGAGGATCTCTAGAGTTCAAGATCAACTTGGTCCACATAGTGAGTTCAAAACTATCCTGAACTACACAGTGAGAGCCTGTCTCAGGGGAAAAAAAAAAGAAAAAGATAAAAAGGCTGTCAGGACATCATCAGTGTGCTTAATTTCACAAAAACAAGAAAAGGCAGTGATTTATTTGCAGTGCTAATAAATAAGATGGAACGTGACTGAGAACGTACATTTTCTCACACAGAGGTTTGCTCACTGCCTCATAATAAAATTCTTTGTTTTTGAAGAGTTGTGAAACTTAAAGTATGAGTTTTTGATTCCTCGGCATTATGCAGAAATTTTTGGATAGCAGAAAACAGACAACACAATATATTCTCTATACCTTTACACTTAAAGATAACAGTTACTTGCTAAAAAAAAAATGGTTTTAAAGAAAATGGTGTTAGAGAACATTTGGGAAATACATGTTTGGAAATGGCTTAAGCTTTTGGTGATTTTTGTTTGTTGGGGAAATCACCTGTCAAATTTTTGTATATTTTAAGTATGTGTGTTTCAATATATAAGGAACCTCATATATGTGCAAGAAAATTGTTCAACATTGTTTACAGTAAGAAGAAAAAACAGGAAATAACTCGAATGTGACAGTGGGGTGGGTAAATACATTTGTGGTACAGCCATATAATATACAGTACAGTGAGTGAACTTCAGCTTTTATCAATGTAGAGAAACCTCAGAAGTGTAACCCTGAGCAAGAAGAGAAAGTGCTAGAGTGACATGCACTGTACTTTACATCATTGTAAAGTGCTAATCATGCAAAACCAAACTACATATAAGTATGGCTACACTACAAAGGGTAATGGCTGTGAAACTCAAGAGAGTGCCCACCTTGGATGTGAGAGGCCACCAAAATGCTAAAACAAGTGTTAGCCGCTAGCAAGGTTTTTTGAAGGTCCCATTCAAGATCTATTTTAAACAATCTTTGGGCATGGGGTAGGACTTTGGAATCTGCATTTTGAGCAGAGAACAACAATCATTTTATGGTGTTACAGTGGTTGAGGTACCTTTCTAAGCGTTTTACAATTAACTCAGTTCTTCATTGTAATCTTGTGACTGTAGGTAAAGTGACTTAAGAGATTTGCCCAAAGTCACACAGCTATAGAGTATAAGGTCAGGAATGTGTGTAGGAAGCATACTACATCCCCTTCAGTTTTGAAAAACCACTGCTCTAGTCTAAGTCATTCAAAATTGGGAACATTTTATTCTATAGTAATAGGAAAGCTGGGTGGGGATGGTAGGGGAAGTAATCCTTACAATTCTAAGGATTTTAAATCTTTGTCCACCAACACCAGGTAGCTACTTCATGGATTATAAAACTCAGTAATATAAAGTATGTCCTTTCAGCACTAAAATCCAAGTAGTGTTTCTTCTTAACAGAACCCAAGTATTGTGAGTATATTGTTTTCAATTTTGTATACAGTGTGAAACCTTGATAAAACCAAATGTGTGAGGCCAGGCAGGGCACCATGCGCCTGTAGTCCCAGATACTCTGGAGACCGAGGCAGGAGGCTCCCTTGAGCCTAGGCAACATAATGAGACCCATTCTCCTTAAAAAACAAAACAAAACGAAAAACCAGAACTCAATGTTTTAAAATATTTGTTAATGTTTTTGTTTTAATAGAATTTTAGAGTTATTTTTAGGATTGCTAGGGGGAAAAGTCTTGATTTCAAGACTGCTTTTAGAGGTCTTTCTAAAACATTAGCAGTATCTCTACCTCAGTTTGTTGAACAAGATGCCTTATCAGTCTGTATATTCCAAAGCCTAGTCTTGTACTATGTAGATATATATTAAACCATAGAATTGTAAGTTAAAATTTTTCAAAAATTGTTAACCAACTTTCTTGTTTTTCTTTTCTCCTAGAACAGTGGTTCCCAATCTGACTCCATATTCAAATCACCAGAGTGACTTTTAGGAAATAACTGAAATCTGATACCCTTAGAAATAGTGATTCCATGACTCTTGATTCTAACATGGTAGGGTGGAAAAACCACTATTGTAGAAGAAGCATGTGGGGCAGGTAGCCGGAGCACCCAGTAAATTAGAGTCATACTGAAAAGTAAGCTTGAGATAGGAATTGCTTAATGTTAGATGAATCTAAGCATTTAATACCTACGATTCTTTTTCCTTTCAGATTCATTACTAAACATGGGTGCATTTTTGGATAAACCCAAAACTGAAAAACATAATGCTCATGGTGCTGGGAATGGTTTACGATATGGTCTGAGCAGCATGCAAGGATGGAGAGTGGAAATGGAAGATGCACATACAGCTGTTGTCGGTATTCCTCACGGCTTGGAAGACTGGTCCTTTTTTGCAGTTTATGATGGTCATGCTGGATCCCGAGTAGCAAACTACTGCTCGACACATTTGTTGGAACACATCACTACTAATGAAGACTTCAGGGCAGCTGGCAAATCAGGATCTGCTCATGAGCCTTCAGTGGAAAATGTCAAGAATGGTATCAGAACTGGCTTTTTGAAAATTGATGAATATATGCGTAACTTTTCAGACCTCAGAAATGGGATGGACAGGAGCGGATCAACTGCTGTAGGAGTTATGATTTCACCTACGCATATCTACTTTATCAACTGTGGTGATTCACGGGCTGTGCTGTATAGGAATGGACAAGTCTGCTTTTCTACCCAGGATCACAAACCTTGTAATCCCCGGGAAAAGGAGCGAATCCAGAATGCAGGCGGCAGTGTAATGATACAGCGTGTTAATGGTTCATTAGCAGTGTCTCGTGCTCTGGGGGACTATGATTACAAGTGTGTGGATGGCAAGGGCCCAACAGAACAACTTGTTTCTCCAGAGCCTGAGGTTTATGAAATTTTAAGAGCAGAAGAGGATGAATTCATCATCTTGGCTTGTGATGGGATCTGGGATGTTATGAGCAATGAGGAGCTCTGTGAATTTGTTAAATCTAGGCTTGAGGTATCTGATGACCTGGAGAATGTGTGCAATTGGGTAGTGGACACTTGCTTACATAAGGTATGTAAGTGTTTTCTTAAGAAAGCACACCTCAGTAACATTTACTTTTAATCTCTCTAGCAGCTAAGACAAACAATGAAATGAGTTGTCTGTTTTTCATTGTCTTATTAATAAAAGAAACCTTTCCTATTGCTGATATCTAAAAGGAATTTATACAGGTAATAGTAATAGCTGACTTAGCTAGGCATGGTGGCACACACCTATTATCCCAGCATTTGGGAGGCTGAGGCAGGAGGATTGCTGTGAATTTGAGGCCAACCTGCATCACATAACAAGACTCGGGGCTAGGGATTTAGCTCAGCGGCACAGCGCCTGCCTGGCCAGTGCAAGGTCATGAGTTTGATTCCCGGTACCGGCAAAAAACCAAAACAAAAAACAAACAAAAAAAACCCAAAACATAATAAGACTCTGTTTCAAACAAAAACTAATAATGTCTGACTTGAAGGATGGTACCATTTGTAGAATATATCAAAATTCTTTTCATATAGATGTTTTTATTATCACAGATTAAAAACTGAAGGCTTATATAAAATGTAATGTGGAGAATTCCTATAGAATGTTAGTTTATTTAGATTTGTAATTTTCTGTCAATATTGATACAGTAAAATATTTTAAAAAACCAGAGTAACATAATTAGGAGTTTCTTCAAACATCTTTAAAGTAGTTTTTCAGGCAGGCTTTTGACAGCATCTTTGCAGAAATCAGTTAAAATCTGAGTCGTCCACCAAGTGCCCGGGAGTGTGCAAGGGCTCTGTGACTGATAGAAGCAAGATCCAGGCAAAACTGACTGTGAAACACACATTTTAGATTGAAGCCCTTCGGTCTCCCACTGCAGAAATTTCTGTGGAAGGTGCAGGCATAGCTAGAAAATTTCTCAAGAAGAATCTCAGGTGTGTGGAAATACCCAGGTTTTGGTAAGATACCTATTTGTTTTCCGTAGAACAGAAAGAGAAATTTCGAAATGAGTACGATGTTAACCATTTTAATGACTACTTTTGGCCCTTCTGTTTTTACATTTAGCATACCATGTCATTACTACTTCTCTAGATGAGTTTGGTACAGAAGTAGTGATAGTCGATAGTGATTAAATAGTAAGTGGCTCTCCAAATGTCTTTCTCCTTGGACTCTAAACTGAGTGAATTGGACCTGCACCTTTTTGAGATGAAAAGGGCATAAGTTTTTTTGCTGGCAAGTAAATAAAAACAGGATTTCCACCAAGTATAAATGAATACATGAAGAAAAGTCCAGATAATAGAGGAAACTCACAATTTTGCTACCCGCTTAAGTCATCTACTTTGATTGTGGTGTGTATCTTTCCAGGATTTTTTGTTTTTTGCCTTCCTGTTTGTATGTTTTTATAAAAATGAGACTTTATTTGCTGTTCTACAGCCGCCTTTATCCAGCAACATATCGCAGAGATATCCATGTCAATAAGTGTTGTGCTGCCAATGCTTTTCATGGCTGCGCAGCGTTCTGCTGAGTGAATAGCATGTGGTTCTGAGAGAGTAGCCCATTGGATCTGAAATTTAAAGAAATTTAGTTGTACTCCAGACTGTACTCTGCTGTCTGTTGAAGGAATGCTAGTTTTCTTTACCCTTCTGCCTGAGGTTTAAATGATACCAGTGGTATATCTTCAGTTGATAGCTTCTCTCATTTTTAAGTAACTGAATATTCATGTTGATGATGTAGAAAGATGCTAGCCAGAGTCCTGGAATCTCAGGAATACGAAGGAATAGTAACAGAGAGTTTAGGCTAGTGAGCGTATTAGTTCTGGTGGAAGCTGGCCACTGTAGTTCCTTTGAATGAAGCTCTATCATGTTGTCAGTTTTGGTAAATTTAACTGGTTTGGGTTGAAACATAACAGGGTTATGCATTTTGTAATCACTGAAAGTTACTTAGGAAATTAAATCTCTTGTCCATTTTTGTTTAACTATAATTTTGTCACTCCATTTTTTTTTGTATTGTAAGTTAATTGACTACTAGACAAACTATGCACACTTAAAATTTAGGGTGAAAGATTGAACATGAATTTTAAAGTCCGTGGAAAATACTTAGCACTTGCTCAGTAGGTACTGATCTTTTTTAGGAGGAATGAGAGACAAGACCCACTGAAGTAGATGTTTCCCTAAGAGATGTAGATAAAGTCAGTATTTCCTGAAACTTCTGACACCTATTACGGCTTGATTGTTTATAAGCACTTTTATATGTTAACTCATGGCATCTTGGAAATTCATGGTAATAACCAGCATAGTTACGATGTTTGTTTTCTGTGAGCATTATGCTATTCTCAGCAGTGTATACATGTTTTAACTCACTTAATTTTCACAAGCACTATATGAGGTAGTTACTAATATTTTCTTAATGATAATAATTTTTTAGGATTGCTGATAAGTGTTGGGTAACTCCAGTCAGGTATTATTCTATTTAAATTAAATATTTAACTCTAGAGATGAGTCCCTAAGAAAGCAGCTTTGCTACTTTATGACAGTGCTGGCATTCATGGTGTTCACTGCCAGCTAATTTCAGGTTGCATAAAATACATAAATACTAATTGCATAGCCTCTCATAACTTACAAGTAATGCATATTTTACTAATCTTTAAAGTAATCTTCTGAGGTGAAATAAGTTTTCACTTCTAATTTGTGAGTAAGGAAGCAGTGGTTGCTTAACACTGAATGACTTGTAGGTCATGCACTTGATGAGTGTTGAAGCTGAAACTAGAATCAGAGTTTTCTGACTCAAGTTTAGTGTTAATAATGTTTCCCAGAATGATCCGATAAAGAATTATGTGTGTGTGTGCGCGCGCGCATGCTCGTATGCTGCTTTCGGTTTTCACCTGAGATAGTGTTCCCCAAGGGAGACATTAAAAGTATTCTTTTTCTAGCTAGCTGAGTGTGGTGGTGTGTGTCTATATCTAGCTATTTGGGAGGCTAACACAGGAGAACTGCAAGTTTGAGGCCAGTCTGGGCAACCTAGGAAGACCCTGTCTCTAAAAAACAACAAAAAAACCTTTCCCTCCCCCCCCAATTATTACAGCATTAATATACATATTTGTAATAAATGCAAAGATGCCTGGAGTTAAGTTAGTCATCTTGATGTTCCTCCAGATCCTCCTTTCCTGTCTCATTCTTCTTAGGCCACTGTTCAGCGTTTGCTGTGTATTTTCTAAATGGAATTTTTTGTGGTTATTGATGAAATATGTAAGTGTGAAAGAAGGGTTTTCTTTTGCCATTGACTCATGTTACATGTGTTATATTGCAACTTGTTTTGTGTTTTTTACATGACACAAGAAAGTAGTTATATTATTCTTTTTTTTTTTTGTACCGGGAATCAAACTCAGGACCTTATGCTTGCCAGGCAGGTGCTATGCCACTGAGCTATATCCCTGACCCTATATTATCCTTTTAAAAGGATATTTAGTTTCCTTAAATTCAGTTTATATTCCACCTATCAGAAGTTTATTTATTAAAACATGAGACACAGGACCTGATCATTAGATAAAACTGAGGAAGATATTTTCCAAAGGCAATATTCTAGATTATTCATATGATATTTAAAATGTGAATTCTGCAAAATAATTTAGTTCCTTTTTTTTTTGAGATAGGATCTTGCTCTATAGTTCAGGCCGGCCTTGAACTGACTAACTCAGACTGGCCTCAAACTCATGGTAACCTTCCTGCCTCAGCCTCCCAAATGCTGGGATTATGGGGGTGCACCACCATACCTGCCAGTAATTTAGTTCTGAACTCAGTACTTTTTCTGTTGAAGTTTGCAGAAAAGACAATCATACATAACACAAAGGTAGACATAGGTAATATTAGGGTGGCATCTAGTTGGGTATTTTGGAAGGAGTTAAGACTGTGAAAGGATATACATATAATGGCAGTGTAGTTATTTACATACCTTCTTGGTCCTTATTGCCAATATTGGAGTAATTTTTTCACAGCATTTCTTAGCCCCAGTCAGTACCTAACAGTTCCAGGGATTAAGTGGTTAGATCCAAACTTAATGAGTCCATATGTCCTAGGCAAAAAAAGCAAACCATATTGAAAGTACTGGGGATTGAACCCAGGGCCTTCACCATGAGCTATATGGTTTTTGTTTATTTGTTTGGGATTTTGGGGATGTTTTGAAACAGGGTCCTGCTAAATTGCCCAGTCTGGGCTTGACTTTGGAATATGGCCTTAAGCCTCCCGAAGTGCTGGGATTACAGGCCTGCACCACCTTGCCTGGTTAATAATGTTGTTTGTTTGTTTGTTTTTGTATGGGGTGGGGTCAGTTGGGTTGGGTTTAGTTTGGTTTGGGCTCACTATGTAGTGCAGGCTGGCGTTGAACTCACAGCATTCCTCCTGCCTCAGCCTCCCAAGTGCTGGGAATGCAGGTATGCGCCGACACACTCGGCAATGTGTACATTTTTAAGAGACTTTTAAATTTCATTTTTTGAGCACCCATATTAAATACTAATGACACGTGTATTCTAACACTGCACACCTTCTCAACTTCAGAATCGCTGGACACTGCCACGCCTGCTTCTTGTATTTCATTGATGTTTTATGAAGGCTTGCTTTTTATCGTAGCATCCCTTAAAACCACAGCACTGTAAAATTACTGAGAAAAATAGAGCATTATTTACATGTCAGCACTCTGAACCTCAGGGTAGTGTACAGGATGTCCACATGTTGTGTCTCTGTGTGTCCCTCTTAATAGAAATACTGCTAATGAGCACACGGTGGCACCTTAGGCTCTTCGGTGCACTATTAGAAAACCACAGGGGATGTAGCTTATCGGCACAACTTCTGCCTGGCAAGCACAAGGTCCTGACTTCAATTCCTGGTACAAAAAAAGAAAAGAAAACCCTAGGTATAGTGTTTAGAACACGGGATTTGGGGCAGCAAAGTGGGTTTAAATTATGCCACTGAGAATGAATTTGGGCAGTCTTCTTTTTTACATCTTTGTGGAAGAAAAGTGATTGCATCTTTCTCATATCTTGTTGAGAATAAAGTTATTGGCAAGGACTGAGCAGTATGTCGTTTACAAACCAGTAAATTTAACTCATGGTTATGAGACAGATACACTTACATAAAGGAAGGGTAAGTTTCAAGTATAAGGTAATGGTGGAAGCAATAAATATCCTTGAAAGGAAATAATCATAGGCTTCATCTTTTCATGGACAGGTGAAAATTGGTTTGTTCCTTTAGCTTGCCTGGCATTTGAACTATGGTAAATAAGATCACTACAGTTAATGCCAGGTATAAAAATTGATTTTAAATGAATATTGACAGTTCGCTTCTCAGACACTTACTTACTAACTTGGACAGTGATAGAGAATTCTGTTCACAGTCTATTTCATATGCTGTGTTAGGACTTGTTCCTGGACATTTCTCTATAACTATGCAGCATTCACTTTAAAAATAATAGCATCAGATTATTTTCTGATTGAATTAGATAGTCTTATCTCTGGCAAGAGCACTGTCTTGTTTGACTTATTGCTGCCTATTAATAGTGCTTACTTATTTTTAGGGTTTACTGCTGTGCTTTTGAAAAAGTAAAAAGATACTGTAATAATCAACTCTTAAAATATCTAGCTAATTCCTTTAGTTGTCCAGTTGTACTAGCTGGAGAGTTTTTTTCTTTTCTTTTTTTGCAGTTCTAGGGATCAAACCCAAACCCATGGAGGACCTTGTGCATGCCAAGCAAGTGTTCTGCCAGAGCTACACCTCCTAGTCCGCAGTCTGGATTTTTTAAAAAATGAAATATAATCATATCTCATTTATGGACTTACTGAAAAGTTTATACTGATTATTGAAGGATAATTTATCTCTAGAAATTGAAGAGATAAAGAGAAGGACCTATTTTTTAGTAAATGGTATTTATATAAAAATTATTGAAACTTTCGCTTTGGATTTAGTGAAAAGGCATCTTTACACAGAAATAGAAGTAGTGTTGTTAAAATTACATTTATCTGAAGTATAAATAAATTATTTCCTTTATTATATTTGGAGGGCCATAAACTTCTTGAAACAGTCTTTAAATTGAATTTCCAAAAGACAGGCTTTATAATTTATAAAAATCAAATGGAATTTTGATGTGTAACATTGATTAGGAATTGTTAAACAGTGCTCTTGCCATTATTACCAAACTAGGAAGTGGTTAGAAGAAATTTGATTTATAAGGGGCTGGGGATTTAGCTCAGCGGCACAGCACCTGCCTGGCAAGCGCAAAGTCATGAGTTTGATTCCTGGTACCGGAAGAAAACCAAAAAAAAAAAAAAAGAAAAGAAATTTGATTTATAAAAATGTTAAATGTTCACTCTATGTGATTGTTTTTTAAAAAATCTTCAATATTGTAATGATGCTTATATCCATGGTGTAGTTTGAAATTTTTAGATTTAAAAATTTTTGCTTGATCTGAATTTACATATATTTGTGTGTTCATACAACCAGAAACATTGTTTCTAATGTTAAGTCATGAAAGTTTTGGTTGGTTTCATTAAGAAGTGAAAGTACTTTGATCAATGTAGAAATCTCAGGTTTCTAGACATTAAAAATCTGGTTATATACTCTTGATGGATCTTCATACCAGAACCAAAGAATCTATGGAGAGAAAGTGACTTTATTTGACGTCTTCTGAAGAACTAACATTCATTGCTTTCAAATCTTCCTCCCATTAAGTTAGAAGATTGACTTTTTTGTTTTAGCTATGCCATGTGGACTTCGTAAGTAGCAGATCAGGGCCAAACGATACCAGCTAGATTCTGGCCATAATGAGTGAAAAGACGGGAGGGGCATGGCCTTGACTTTCACTTGGCTTGGCAAACCCTGCTGTCAGGCAGAATAGCTTACCACCTCCACGGAGTGAGCTTTTCAGAGTGGTGAGCACTAAAAATAGAAAACAGTCATCATTATTTCAACAGCAACTTTATGTGTTCTAAGAAACTCAAAGTAATATATCTCTAGGAGAAGTAATGAGAGATTTTTAATTCATTACTCAGGATCATTGTATTGTCCTTCTTTTAAGACAGTTTGTCTGAAGGGTATGGTTAGAGGCTACAGTAAAATTTATCCTTATGTTAGCTGTTGCTGCTTGCTCTCTCAAGACCCTGAAATGACTTGTGGTTCTATACAACAATGTCAGACCGTTTCTTGAAGTTGCCTGTGTGCTGGGTGTGGTGGTGCCTGCCTGTAATCCCAGTTACTTGGATGGCCAGAGCAAGGGGATTCCAGTTTGAAGCCAGCCAGGGCAACTTAGTGAGACTGTCTCAAAATTTAAAAAAAGCAGTGGGGGGGAGCTGGGAATGTAGCGCAGTGGTAGAGCACCCATGGGGTCCATCTTCTGTACTAAAACCAAAACACTTTGCCTATATAGTTGTATCCCAGCCGTCCAGTCACATCCCACTGTTTGGTGCTGCACCCTCAGAATAGTTTAAGACTTAACTGATTTCTTTCATTTGCAGTTAATTCATTGTAGCTTCTCAGATACCCTGCTGATCAATAATTTTCAGCTACATTAAGTTCAATAGAGTTGTGGCAGCATTGTTCTGAGGCAGATTACTTAGCTGGAAAATTCTGTAGTGCTTCAGAGGCTGTATTTTGGGCGTAAGCTTCTCTTGGGAATAGGTACTATTGAATAAGAAACAATTTCAAAGATTGGAGATATCTTTATTTTTCAGGCTATAAGATAGTGATAGGTAAGACTAGTTACACACAGTTAAAATTCAAAAACAACTACAGATCTACCTATATATAGGCACAGTATTTCTTCAGGTTGAATTTTAAATAGTTTTTTGAAATAAAAATGAGTATGTTGGAATGTATAAATTCTGGATGATTAAATAAACTTAATTGATTAAAGTAGTTAACTGTTTAGAAGTTAAATAGAAAGTTGGTAGACTATAGAAATGTATTTTTTTCTTTTTCTTTCTTTAATATACAGGGAAGTCGAGATAACATGAGTATTGTATTAGTTTGCTTTTCAAATGCCCCCAAGGTCTCAGAAGAAGCAGTGAAAAAAGATTCAGAGTTGGATAAGCACTTGGAATCACGGGTTGAAGGTAAGAAGATAATATGTTTTTTTAATTTAGAAGGAAAGGAAAGGAAAAGTGTTCCTTCTTATTTATCAGATGATTCTTTTAAATTTTTGTAGGGAAAACTGTCATGTTAAAAGAAAGCCTTAAAAACCAAAATCTGCCTGCCTAGATTTACTATCTTAGACTAATGTATATAGATTTGAGGAGAGGGGATTGATCTTTTCTAGCTTTGTAACTGTATATCTCCTAAACAGTGTGAGCCCTGTGTGTAGGTCTCAGTGAGTCCTACTTTTTAGAGTGATGAGAAGATGGAAACCTGGGGGAATACTTTGAGGACCTTGTTAGAGGCACTCATTCCTTTTGATGAAATAATTATTAAGAGGAATTGCTTGTTATTGTTGTTAGTAATTTATATTTCCTGATAAACTGTAGTACGTTGGGGTTGTGGGCTGTAGCTCTAGTTTGTCAGTAGGCAGGAGGAGTGTTTCAGTGTGAGTTCCACATTCATAACGAAGCTGAATATTACGTATTGTATGAAGAGCAGTGCTCGCTTTGGCAGCACGTCCTTTTTGTGAAGTGCTCTCCAGTTTGGTCAGCTCTTCGTTATTTGATCTTATCTGACTTCTTTAACCTCTCATGACTCCAGTTTCTTTATTGAACACTAAAGATAAACACTGTAGAGGGTTGTTTTAATAAATTATTAAAGAAAAGAACTTATGCCTGACACTTGTTAAGATAGTGAGACAGGCTTTACTGAAGGAGGCCATCATGATAATAGATACAGGGACCGCTGCATGGGAGTCTTGCAGTGACAGAAAAAGATTGAATTCAGCTGACTTCACCAAGGCCATGTGGGTGTTTGTAACCAAGGAGTGGGATAGTAGTCAGCAGAGAGAAAATTGCTAGGCAGAAATATGAAGGATAAAAGGTTTGTGTGTAAACTGATTTGGTAGGATTATTGCTGAAAGTGGGCCAGAGAGATAAAATAATGAGGGTGTGCAGATACCAAAGGAGGATAACTTTCCCCAAACTGTCTTCTTCAGGGAGAGAGAGGAAAGCCCAAGGTTGGCCTCCTTAGTACTCAAGAGCCTGACTAAAGTTTTGGTCAAAGGAGAGAATTTTGTCAAAATAAATAGAATATTTAAGTACCTAGCATATGTATCCCCAGCAAACTGTAGCTTTTATTGAGTCTTAACTTCTGTAACAGCTAAATTTTCATTTCTCAAAGTTTTGCTCAGTTCAATTGAACATGGATTGTTATCGCTTAATATTACTTTTTTTTTCTTATGTAGCTTGTAACTTTACAAAGTATATGTTATATGGCAAAAATGACAGATACGAAACATGATGTTTGCGGCCTGTGCCAAATACATGATTGTATTTTTTGTTTGTTTGCTTTTTGTTGTTTGTTCGGAGGACAGGATTTCGCTATGCAGTCCAGGCTGGCCTTGACCTCACAATGTAGCCCAGGCTGGCCTTGAACTTGGGGCAACCCTCCTGCCTCAGCCTCCTAAGTGCTGGAATTACAGATGTGTGCCACCACATCTGGCCCCAAATACTAGATTGTAATCACCCAATCAAAACATTTTAAAATGGTTGGCAAGGCAGCCATTCCACGTGGTTTTTATAAAAGGCATTATTCTTTAAGAGCAGTTTGTACTAGAATTTTGAATTATTATATTTTTGAGCTAAAAGTTTCTGATATATTGGGTAAGGCTGCTGCATGTGTTTTGCTGTGCTGAGGAGCAAACCCGGGGCCTTGCACATGCTGGACAAATGCTTTTCTTCTGAATTACATCCTCAGCCCCTTGTCTTTGGTAGTTGCAGATGGCTGAGAGCAGGGGCTGGGGATTTAGCTCAGCGGCAAAGCGCCTGCCTGGCAAGCACAAGGTCTTGAGTTCGGTTCCCGGTACCGGAGAAAAAACCAAAAAAAAAAAAAAAAAAAAAAAGAAACAGATGGCTGAGAGCAAATGCAGTGTTAAACAGGGAATAGTATTTAAGCTAAGTTCATCAGATGTGAAGTGAGTACTTTCTACTTATATTCATTCATTCAGACTTCATTGAGCACATGTATCATGGTTATAGCAAAAACAAGGCAAGCCTCCTGGAGTTTATATGTTAGTAGAAACCAATACTTGAAAATTTTAAAAAGGGAAAACCCAAGTCAGCAGAATAGCAAGAAGGTTAGTTAGCAAGTCTCTGTGAGAAAAGACATCTGAGCAAAGCTCTGTTTGTGGTGAGCTGGTAACTGGGAAAGCACATTCTAAGCAGAGAGAGCAGCAAAGGCTGAGGAGGGCTTGTGGTACGCCTGCGGAGAGCAGAAGAGTAAGAGAGACAGCTAGGAAGCGTATCACCGAGGGTTGTGAAAACTGGACACTCAGGACCTTGCACTTGGTTCAAGTTGTGATGGGAATTTTGGGGACAGTTTCGACTTGATGTGACTGGTTTTTAAAGGATCTGTCCTGCTGTGTGGAGAGGGCTAAGAAGGCCACGATATGTACCCCTTGGAAGCCAGGCATTAATGGAGTTGGCAGATGATGACAGATTGGACTGGAGTGGTTGGTAATGTACTAGATAGCAGTGGTTCTCAGGGAGATTATGTCTCCGGATGACGTGTGACACTATGTATGACCTGTTCGGTGTCGCAACTCAAGGAGTGCTGCTGGTACCAAGTAGAGGCCAGGGATCCTGCATCGTATCCGATAGTGCACAGGCCAACCTCCAAAAAAAATTGTCTAATCAAAATGTCAGTGCTAAGGTTTAGAAGCCCTGTGCATTGATACGAGTCTAGGTAGAAGAATTACAGCTCTGCTGTAATTTTTGACATAATAAACATACATGGGGATAGAGAGCAGGGTACCTACTCTATGTTTGGGACAGAAAGGAACTTGAGAAGGTAACATACGCAGTTGAAACTGAAGGGTGAACAGGATTTAACCATCCAAAGGGGTTCACTGAATTGTGTGAAAAGAGTTCCAAGCCAAGGAAAGAGAAGTCTGCTTTGATGAGAGCCGCAGAGATGAGGCCATCAGGGCAGAGGTGAAGAGGGGAGCATGAAGAAGGTTGTGAGGCATGGAGGGTAAAAGGTTTGAGATACACATTTTGAGGGCTGCTTAGGATACCGCTTTTTTGTTGTCTTACAAAAGTTGCCATCGTTTGACTTTTGAGGAGTTTTTTTCATTGTCCAAATAATCATTCTTTAAAAATTTGTTTTCCAGAAATTATTAAATAGAAATGGAGAGTGTACATTTTTTGTTTTGTTTCTACACATTAATAAGTACTGTGATTTATTTTTACCGATTTTAAACGGTTTCACTTGGTAGCTATGTCAGAGTTTCCTTAACTGTTCCCTTATGCTAAGACATTAAATTCTAGTTTTTACTTTCATGAGTAATACTGCAGTGAGCATATGTATGCAAAAAGTTCTTACATTGCTTTTTGTTCCCTATTAGTGGTAGAGATTTGTTTTTGTAGTTTAAAATAGTCACTACCACACGTACCTATTTCGTTCCTTTGGGACTAGTGAGTTATTTGTCAACATTAATTAAGGAACTTTTTTCTATAAACTGCAGAAATTATGGAGAAGTCTGGTGAGGAAGGAATGCCTGATCTTGCCCATGTCATGCGCATTTTGTCTGCAGAAAATATCCCAAACTTACCTCCTGGAGGAGGTCTTGCTGGCAAGTAAGTAAAGCAGAAAGCTTTTTTGTGGTTTGGGAAATCAAACTTGGGGTGCCCTGCTACTGAGCTATTAGTAATTAGTGGGGCAAAAGTATAAATCAGAAGTATATGTCATCCAGAGATTAAATGAGGTAATGTCTCTCGAATTGAAGAACTTTAAAAAAAAATTGAAGAACCTAAAAAAGTTTTAAAAAAGAAATTACACTTTGAGGATGGAGATTTTTTCTTGCTAAATGAGAACAAATGGATTATGCAAGATCAAATTCTGAGTGAAATGCAGAAACTGTGTTCTTGGCAATGAATATTGTATTCAGTTTAACAGTGTTATAGTATAGTTCAAAATGAAGTATTAATTGAAAAATGAGCTTAAAATTATGCAGCCAGCTAAAACTCTGTTGTTTTTCTTTAGGCGCAGTGTTATTGAAGCCGTTTATAGTAGACTGAATCCACATAGAGAAAGCGATGGGGTAAGTTTTATTTTATTTCCTAAGCATTTGAAGTAATTTTACAATGTAAATACTGTGTACGAATCTATTCACATAATAAGGTCTATAATAAATTATTAACTGTTTTGCATTGTGTAGAATTAGTCAAAGTTTTAGAAAATGTATTAAAATAGAAGTAGATGTAAAATTTTGTTTTGTATGTAGCTTGGTTGTCGCTTCCTTGGCATCAGGTCATTTGTCTGGGCTTATCCCTATTTCCTCCCTGTCTGTCTTCCTTTCCTCCTTCTTTAGTTCATACCTTTCATTTTGAGGCAAGAATGTACGTTTAAATACCTCAGTTTCTCCAGCAGACTGCTGCCAGCACCAGAAGTTAGTGAATTATTATTTTAACAACCAGTCCTTTCATTGCCCCTGTGTGCTCGGTTCAAAACCTAAGTATAATTTCATTCTAATATTCATGTATTATCACTGTCTGAATGTTGAACCTGAGATAAACCATTTTTGTTGCACTCTTGTGCTTCATCAGAGCAAAACTCATTATCCCCTTACCTTTTATTGTGCTATCCCTATGAATATTGATGGGCTACAGCCTGCTTTTTTCTATGGAGTTTGTTTTATTGCTCAGACCAGAATTCCCATTTTCCTTTTGTGGCATTCAGTTTTAGAATTTGTAACGCAAATACAAGATTTCTCATAGCTTTTTCAAGTTTTGGGCCAGCTAAAAATAAAATGGCTTAAATCTTTGAAACATACGTATTGAAAATTAAGGGAATAGTAAAATTCCTAGAGAGGAAATAGAGCCTTTTCGAGGTCTGCAGCTGCTCTTGGCAGGTCTTGAGAAACAGTACCTTGAGTAGAATTGTCATCTCAGTTTCCAGGACTTAATATTACATAGCAGTAAGTATAATTTATTTTTCTTAACAATGAAAGTGTGCGGGTGGAAAGGAAGGTTTCATGCTGCACTGAAGTGTCAGTGGCTTGAATAAGTGATGCCAAATACTGCTGATAAAGTATCTCGGTCTGGAGCAGTGGTGAACGTATGGCCCGTGTGCCACACTGGGCTCTTCTATCACTGAGAGCTCTGAAAAGCTCGCCGTCATCGGTCTAGAGCTTTGATTCTGAGTCGTTCTTTCGCAGTTAGTGTCTCCACATACTAAGCATTTTATCTAAAACTGTGACTATTAATTTAAAATTTTTTTTTTTTTTTGGTATCGGGAATTGAACTCAGGACCTTGCACTTGCCAGGCAGGTGCCTATGCCGCTGAGCTATGTCCCCGGCCCCAACTATTGAGTTAAAAGTAAAGATGTATCATGTGATACAGTAAGAGAACCACCAAGCAAATGAGTGTAGGATGTTGACATGACTAAAAAGTGGTGGCAGTCTGAGGATTGAGGAAGAGGAATCTTAGCTGTTCAGGTCTTTTATAGATCGGTATCTGCTGCAGTGCTCCGATCCAGGGGCACAAATCTGCAGAAGGTGTTACTGATTCCTTATGAGCTGTAGATGTACTTCCAGTTCCTTGGGTCCTCAGAATATCCTGCCGGTGTATAATCTTAAAAATTACACCTTGCTGAATTTTTTGGTCCCTCAAGAAAGCTCTTTTTTTTTTTTTTTTTTTTGGTCTTTTTGTCTTTTTTTGAGACAGGGTCTCGCTCTGCAGTTCAGGCTGGGCTTGAGCTCACTTTGCAGCCCAGGCTGGTCTTGAACTTGTATCTATCCTCCTGCCTCAGCCTCCCGAGTGCTGGGATTACACGCATGCACCACACGCCTGAATCAAAAAAGCTCTTACTTGAAGATTTTGAAAATGCTTAAAAACCCTACGTTTCTTTTTAACATGCACCAAGGGTGACTTTTTAACTTTTTAATTGAGAAAATAATTATACATATTAGTTATATAATGTGAATAAATAAGAAACAGAACCATAAAACCAAGGGCAAATGCTTAGGATATAAAAATTATTCTAAATACAATTATTATATAAATTTAGGATTACATACCCAATTCCCTTTGTATATAAGCTTTCTGTTAACTTCAGCAGATTAAACACTGACACTCTGCCACGTAGAGAACTAATGAAGAGACTATAAACGATGAGGTGTGGTCCCATGCTTATGCTCACGCTACATATAGTGTATACTGATGAACACACAAGTAAGCAAAATGTTTTTATAGTTTAGGAAAGAGTTAAAGAGTTACATAATTAGACTGTACAAGCTGGAGCAGTAGCTTAGTGGGAGGGTGGGTGCTTGTCTAGCATGCATGAGGCCATGGGTTCAGTTTCCAGCACAGGGGTGGGTGTGCGGATTAGCTTTATATGGGGGGATAAATGTGATGATTGCCATATAAATCATATAGGAATTGCTATAGAAGTTCAACTAAGAAGGAAAAGTCATATTCTTAGAGAATACGTGAGAGTTGAAGAATGACTTTAATGGCAGAAACGTGGTAAGATGGCATTTCAAGTGGAGGAGAAGAGAAAGAACAAAGCATAGACTATCTTTTAAAATGCGGCATCTAGGCCAGGGATATAGCTCAGCGGCATGGCGCCTGCCTGGCAGGTGTGAGGTCTTGAGTTTGATTATTCCCAGTACCAAAAAAAAAAAAAGGAATGAAAGAAAGAAAAGGAAGGAAGGAAGGAAGGAAGGAAGGGGCATCTTTTTGGCTAGTGCAGAGAATTGCTGTGGTAAAAAATAAGAAATAGGGCTGCATTTTGAACTTTATTTTAGGGTGAGGAACTACTATATTTGGAACTTAAGAATAGTAGACCTGCTGGGTGGATATGATCAAAATACATATGCATGTATGAAAATGCCACAATAAAACATAATACTTTATAAAATTAATAAGCACTGATATATTTCCATATATATAGGGATAGCAGAGTAACAGGCTCAATGCAATATCCATGTCAATTTTGGTTTTTTTCCGATAACGGGAATTGAACTCAAGACGTCGTGTTTGTCAGGCAGATCCTGTGCCGCTGAGCTAAATCCCTATCCCCTGTCCATGTCAATTTTGATAGAAACATTATTAGTAATAGACTGGAGATGCTAGAAGTCAAGTAACTATGAGTAATTGCAGGGGGTGAAATAATTAAACCAAACTTAATTATTGATAAGTAGAATATATGAATTAGAGAAACTTCCCCATTTAGTATTTAAAACTAACTTTGCAACCCAGAATCCTATTTTGGAAAACATTATTATAGTCCTTTTAGAATAATCATTGCCTTAAGAAAATAAATAGCAGAAATGTACTCAATATACCAAAGAAGCATTGAGAATGAAGAAAATACAAACAATTAAATCCTTAGCTTAATCCATTATAGTAACTGTTTAGGCACAGTCTGCTTAATAAATGCAATATGGAAAATGTTGTCAGGTGACCCAGTAGCAGGAGCTGTTAGTCAGCTTGCCCAAGTGGTATAGAAATACAAGAGGAGGAGCAAGCTAAAAAGTATTACAGGAATTAAACTTTTAAAGGAACAGGTATAGTTTTTGTTTAGATATTTAAAAAATGATATTCAGAGTTAATCAGATTGTCTTAGACTCTGAAAATGTCAGGTTTATGTCAGAGCTAGAATTGGCTTGCAATAACTAGAAGTAGTGCCATTAGAAAGAAGGTTTCATTCATTTTTCTTACATTTAAAAACTTTGGATAATATGTTTCAAAAAGCTGAATTGAATATAAGCCAGTAATCAAGTAATGTTAAATATATTCAGGAAGTCTAGGTGAAGATTTAGGGAAATCTTAAGTTGTTTACTAACCTTGTTTCTTTAGTTCAGTTTTTTTGGTATATGTTCATTCAAACAGTACTGATATATTCCTGAGCTTTTTTTTGTTTGTTTGTCGGGTTTTTTTTTTTCCTGGTACCGGGAATCGAACTCACAACCTTGCGCTTGCCAGACAGGTGCTGTGCCACTGAGCTAAATCCCCAGGCCCTATATTCCTAGTTTTTAAAATGAAATGTAGAAGAATGTAGTAGTGATGCTTAATCAAAGGGGTTATCTGTGGTACTCATCAGTTTCTCAAAGGAATGTATGACCCCTATAGAAAATTGCCTAAGAGATAGCCCCATCTGCCATAAAGTCAGAAAAAAGTAAAACTACATTCTATCATTAAGTTGGTCTTATATTAGGTAGGACTCCAAGATCATAGCATTTTCCTGTTTTGAAAATGCTAGTTGTATTTTTAACTAAAATACAAAGTGTGTGAGAGCTGGGATTTCACGTGATCTTTTTTTTTTAAGCCTATAGTCCCAGTACCTACAACAGCCCAGCAAGTGGTAAGACCTCAGTAAATACTTGTTGGGCGGGGTTGTAGGTCATTGGTAGCCTAGTGTGTGCAAGGTGTATGTCCAACCCCAACACTCAAAAAGGAAACAGATTGCTATTTGACTAGGAAATACTTAAATTTATTCATAGCACTTTCCTTAATATTTTGAAAATAAATTGAGCTTGCTAATTGTCCTGAAACCTATTTTTTTGCTTTTTGAAATTTTTTGAAAGAGAAAAAACACTGATAAAAAATTTCAAAACAAACTAGGAGAATAACAATGGTTACCACATTGCTTATTGTTATCTTCAAAGTAGTTGCTCAGATTGCATGATATAGGCATGAAAAATTGATCAAATGATACAAGCACAAACCTTTCTTCTCAATGAACTAATAGAAGTCAGTAGTATAGCTATCTTAACTGTCTTATCTTGTAACTATCTTAATTTTTCCTTTTCCTTTTCCCTTCCTTTGGTCTTTTCTCCCATTCTAGTTTCTCTTTCCTTTTGAACAGTTTCTTTCCATTTCCCAATATCTCTTATACATTTTGGATTTTATTTACTCTTTCAGCTTCTTACACATCTTACACATGTGAGACGGATTTATTTCACTTATGAGTATGGTCTCCAGATGCATCCATTTACCTATAAAAGTCTCAAATTTATCCTGCTTTATAGCTGAGTAATACTCCATTGTATGAAAATACTGCATCTTTTTTAACCATTCCCCGGTTAGTGGACATTTGGGTTGTTGCCAAGATTTAGCTATTACAAATTTTGCTGCTGTAAATATGGGTACATATATATCACTGTGGTATGATGTTTTTAATTCTTCTGGGAAAATGCCCAGAAGGGGAGTAGCTGTTTTGAATGGGACCTCTGCTCCTAGTTTTTTGACGACTCTCCACACTGATTTCCACAGTGGTTACACCAGTCTGCACTCCCACGAACAGCAGAGAAGGGTTCATTTTCCCCACAGCCCCTCCAGCATTTGTTGTTGGTTAATTTCTTGATGATAGCCATTCTTTCTGGAGTGAGATGGAATCTCAGTGTGGTTTTAATTTGCATTTCTCAAATGACCAATGATGTTGAACTTTTTTTTTCATATATTTATTTGCTATCTGTATTTCTTCATCTGAGAAGTGTGTATTCATCTCAGTTGCCCTCTTTTGGATTGGGTTTTTAAATTTGGGGGGGGGTCTTTTTTTTTTTTTAATTCTTTATAGATTCTAGATATAAGTCCTTTGAGGGACTGTTGGCTAAAATTTTTTCCCACTCTGGGTTGTCTTTTCACTCTGTTGATGATTTCTTTGGATGTGCAAAAGCTTTTTAATAAGGTGAGATCCCAGTTGTTAATTCTTAGGAGTATTTCCTGTGCAGTTTGGGTTTTATTCATGAAGTCTCTGCCTACTCCTGTGTCTTCAAGATTTCTGCCTATTTTCTTTTCCAGTAGATTCAGTGTTTCTTTTTTAATATTTAGATCTTTGGTTAATTTTGACTTTAGTTTAAGTGCATGGTGATAGACATGGGTCTAGTTTTAGGCTTCGGCATGTAGACAGCCAGTTTTTCCAGCACCATTTATTAAAGAGACTATTTGAAAGTATATTTTTAGAATTTAAAATTTTAAGTTCTGCCCTTAGGTTCATTACTGTACCATTGATCAGTGTAGCTCTGTAAGTTGATTTTCTGAGGGTAAAAGGTGACCTCATATTTTACCCAACTCCTGCTTGTGCCAAGTTGTGTACATGTGTGTTTTGTAGGTTGTCTCAAACCCTATTTTTACACATGTAACTGAGAGTCATGTAGATGCATGAAGCTGACTCCAAAACCTATTCTCCGTACTTACTTCATGCTGCCTGAGACGTTTAGAGATTGTGGCTGTCTGTAGCCCACTGCTCTGCATCAGAGAAAAATCATTTTGTCTTTCATTGTCTTAATATATTTCTTTTTAAGGAGGAACATTTTATATAAAGTTGTTGAAACTAACCATTCAAGCCTGGTTTCTTTTTAGTTATGTTTTATTTAATACACATTTTAATTTATACACCAGAAACTTTCAAAGCATTTAGATTTTTGAGATGAGAAGGAAAACAGCACAGATTGGTCTCTTTTAAACCCAAAAGAATCTCCGTATTCTGTCTTCACATTATTAAAATGGAATAGACATGGCCATTGTGGCATATTTGAGAATTTCAGTTGTGACGATTTTTTTAAATTGATTAACAGGGTGGGGTGTAGGTCTCCACAAAAACATATTTTTAACTAGTTTTCCACTGTTTTAATAACCATTTGAAGAATTTTTCTTACGGGAGCTGTTTTTAAAAAATATATATTATCATTGAAAATAAAAGTTAAATTTTATTTATTTTTAAAATTTTATTTTTAAAATGGGCTTCGATCCTCCTCACCCAGTTTGCTCTCTGATTTATCTGTATGTATTTTTGTGTCTTGCTTGGTGTAAGGCCGTATTTTCATGAGATTGGAACATCCCCTCTGATTTTTTAAAACTCACCTGAAGTAGTTTCGTATGACTTTATAAATCTTTACTATATGTTTACATTTTAGATTTCAGTATAAAATAATTTTCTACAGTTATTTTCACCAATATTTCCTTAACAAGTATGTTAGGTGTATGAGGGACTTTGGTGCAAAAACTGTTAGTACATTCAGGGGAGCATTCAGATGGACATTGAGGTTAGTTACACCTGCGCTCAAATCTGTGAACTCTGTCACTTCTTGATAGTAACTAACAAATCTCTCTGAGCCTTCCTTTCCTTTCTGGTAAAAATGACAATTTTAGTGTTTATTTCATAAGGAACCTCTGAGGATTACATGAGAATATACAAAAATGTTAATTTTTCTTACTTGTGTGGTAGGATATAGAAAGGAATGTGAAATTTTTTTTACTCTTAGGAGTTTACAGCTGGGTGTGGTGGTGCACGCCTGTGATCCCAGCACTTGAGAGGCTGAGGCTGGAGGATTGCTGTGAATTCGAGGCCAGCCTGGGCTACACAGTGAAACCCTGTCTCAAAAAAACAAAAGTTTACAGAAAGACTGTGAATAGTTGAATGGTAGAGTTACTTGCTATAATAGATACATAAAAAGTGATGTACTGTGTGAACTTTGTAAGTTCAGGTGAAGAAAGTACAGGAACCTAGATAGTAGGTTCATCTTCAGATATTAGCAAAAAGCCCATGAAAGAATTTGAAAAAATTAACGCAATGCCTGGGGAAGGTGTTTCAGCCCACCCGTCCATCATGTGTCTAGCATGGTGGGAAAATGTAACGTGTCATAAGGTAAAAGTTACTTTTAAATGTGGTCATGAGCTTAAGTTTTCTTTCAATCCAGTGACTTTGTAAATTCTTATTTTCTTGAGTTACTGGTTTTGTGTTAGTGTATTTTTTAATACACTGTTAAAATTTCCCTAACCACTACTACTGTAGTAATTCACAGAAATAGAGATGATCCTTGCACAATAAAGGAGTCAGCTGGGGAATGGCAAATGCTTTATTTGTTGAATCCACCAAAATAAACTCAAATAATACCAGTCCAGACTTATCAATAAGTATAACTCCAAGTAGAGTATGGCTTGTGTGAGATTCTCAACCGTAGTTGTATCAGAATTATCTGGAGGCTTCAAAAAACAACCCAGATCCAGTGTACCTCTATATCTTGCACTGGAAGTTTGGCATCTGTATAGTTTTAAAAGCTTCATAAATGACTGTGATAAGGGTTAATACTTCTACATGTAAGTCAGCTGTTCATTTGAAGTCGGTAGTGTTTTAATACCCTACAGTTGAAGAATAGGGGAGATTTTTGCTTATTTGGGGGTGAAAATAGGTGTCTTGGGTCTCCATAAAGTAGAATGTTTCCTTTTGGAAGACCTGATTAAAAACTGACAAAGTTTGCGGTGGGGTACACTTACCTCATTGATCCACCTTCACCTTTCCTGAATACATTCAAATGAGAAACTTTACTTAAAGATCCTCTTTTTTTTCCTACTGTAGGAAAAACATAAATATATTCTTTAACAAAGAATATATTTTACTGTGTTTACATAATCAATTTTGCAAAAATAATAGGAACCTGTATACCTTCTTCTTAGATTTGGTAATTAACATTTTGCTATGGTTGATTTTTATCTTTTGGCTAAACTCTGAAAGCAAATTATACACACTATAATAGTTTACTGTATACATTGCAGCTTGCAGCTTTTAAAAATGACATTTTTCTACATAGCCATAATGCTATTATTGTAACTATGAAATTTAATAATAAATTTCATAATATTGTGTAATAATGTGTCCACATTTCCCTAGTTGAGCCTAGAATGATTATAAGGGTTATTATTTGAAACATGATCTAGTTAGGTTAAACCAGTAGTGAAGCACATAAAACAGATTTTAGTCACCACTCCACCACTTTTTGTCCTCCACTTTGAGGAATCTGAGCTTAGTTTTTATAGGAGGGCCTACTTTCTGGATTTGTAAATTGTTGTCTTTTGGTATTCTTTAACTTGGTCTTAAAAGGGAAATTAGCTTCCTTAGATTCTTAGTAACTTTTTTTTGGCATGAATGAAGAATTACCATATTTCACACTGCCTCACTCAGGAGGCATGTAATAGAGAGTTGTCTTGATTTTATGGTCTGCTTGAATGATTGGAGCTTCTCTAACAAGATGAAATAGCTATTGTAGAAACCTGTACGTTTTCTTAAATTTAATAAACCATGAAAGGATTGAGTAGTTTACTTTTCATATTTATACCTTATGGTAAAAATAATCTGTATTTTATCTAGAGATTTTTATTAAAGTACTGCATTTAGAGACAAAAGTAAATAAAATCATTAGCCGCAAAGGGTCTTAATTCTTCCAGAAATCTAGTTTAATTCATATAGTTTTATGGTTTGTATCTTCTTTCCCACTTAGCATCAAGCCGAAAAAAAGAAACTAATGTTTTGATGGCCTGCTTTTCTTAATCCTTTTTCTTGCTTTAAAGACTAATTTCTTTTTCATTATAACCGATGATTTTTTTAAAGTAAGTCACTTGTAGAAAATGCTTATGTTGCTATTGAATTCTAAAAGCAGAGTAAATTTCAGATTATATTTCAAATATCAGCTGAAATAAAACATAAACTAGTTAATGGTAATTTGTTAAGAGTAATTTTTAAGGTATAATTAGAAGTTTTTATTAATTTACACAGGTAAGAATTGATACTTGATGAAATGTTTTCATGCTTAGACTACATTACTTGTGGTAGAAAAATGAGAATTTTGTGTAATATGTTATGAAATACATGTGATATCCTAGTTTGTCTACTGACACTGGGGTCTTGAATCTTAAAAAAAGGCCTCCGATGAAGCAGAGGAAAGTGGATCACAGGGAAAATTGGTGGAAGCTCTCAGGCAAATGAGAATTAATCATAGGGGAAACTACCGACAACTTCTGGAGGAGATGCTGACTAGTTACAGGCTAGCTAAAGTAGAGGGAGAAGAAAGCCCTGCTGACCCAGCTGCTGCAGCTGCTTCTTCGAACAGCGATGCTGGAAACCCAGTGACAATGCAGGAAAGCCATACTGAATCAGGAAGTGGTCTTGCTGAATTAGACAGCTCTGATGAAGATGCAGGGACAAAGATGAGTGGTGGAAAAATATGACTTTTTTGGGGTGATATTTTTGTGATCTTTGATTTGATTTACTTAGGAAGTATAATGTGTGTATTTATATAACCATTTTGTTATTCGAATCTTGGAAAAACTAGTTTTATTATATTCCTATAGCCTTGTTTTTTAAAAAGGCCTTTGCATACACCTTTATGAGATAGTTTTAAAAATTAACTATTTATAGTACTTTGGATTTAATGAGATTATATGTTAATTCACACTGTATGCCAGATACTAGGTTGCCAATTAATAGAGTTAGTAAATTTATACTAGGATTAAAGATTACTGCTTAAAGAGATTACGTTGTGGAAAAGCTTGTAATGTAGAATTATACTGCTTATTTTATATATCAGTACACTCATCGTTAGCTTTGTAATAAATTTGTGTTCTTTTTCATAACTTTAACCCCTCAAAGAATGGCTGATGCTGGCGTGTAATTTTTCTTTCAAGGTTGATAATTTCTGTGTTGTTTAATTTGTTTATATTTTATATCTCTGTAGTTTTATTTTTAGAAGTTGTGAGATACTGGCTGTGTGGTTATTTTTCCTTTCTCTGTATTCTTTATGAAACATAATTTTTGAAAAACCTGTATATTATTCATATAGCTTTGGTTTGTATATTCTGTATAGCCTACCTATACATATCCAAATGTATGTCAAACAAGTGTTTAGAATGAAATTATAAGTCCAAATAAAGCATGTGATATGGAATAATTATGCATGTTGTACTTATTCTTTAATTTTTTTTAATAACCAGGTTTGGGTATTGGAAAACTACTCATTAGAAGTTCATTTGCATTTATATTAAATTTAGCAAACTTTTGACTGAATTTTTTTCATTAACAGAAAGGGAAAACTTTTTTAATGTAAAATCTGTAAGTCTTACTCAAAGTCAGTTTTGTTTTTTAGCCCCTCTTTGATACAAAATATTCACCGCAGACAGTATGGGCACATGTAAACATGTGAGAAAATTGTCACATGAGCATTTTGAAGGTTGCAACATTGTCGGTTTTTCTTACAAGTATGAATCAAATATTAATAAATGCAAGCATAATGGGCTCTTTTTAAAAATAAATGTGTTTTCTTTTTTGAAAACGTTTTTAAATTACAGATGGATATTAGTCATGGAGGAATTTTTAAAAAACAATCTTTTGAACTGTACAACATTAACTTTTCCTCTTGCTATTTGCATATCATGTATTTAAAGTTGCTTAAGATATCGTAATATGAGACTTTGGAATCTTCAGATGTTGTAGTTGATGTCTTGATCTGTTTTTCCAATGCCAGAGTATTTTTAAGTGTTTTCAGAAAGAGGAAGGCATTTGGTAGAGAAGAGCGAAAAACTGTACCAGTTATGTCTACATTAGACAGATACCTCTATACACACAGTGTACAGTACACATACCTCTTTGTAAAAGTACCTTTTCAGACAAAGAAAGGCAGGTAATTTGTTCACCTAATTTTGTTTTCTTTTGAAATTCAGTCCAACCTGGAAGCAGTATAGGTAAATAATAATAATATTCTTCCTTTTCTCTTCCTGTAGGGTGCTGGAGATCTAGAAGACTCATGGTAGCCTTATAAACCTTCTAAAATGCTTTTGATTCAGAAAATTGGGGGAAAAACTTTTAATCACAATTTTCTTCAGTACAAGGGGAAAATATTCTTGTGGATTCCCAACGTTTTGTGATATGAGCAGAAAAGCATTAGCATTTCCCATCCTTTGTTCATATTTGTGTTTTCTGATAATGGCCACTCGTAGCATTGCCTGTACTACAGTATTTTTTGCCAACCTCAGGCATAATGGTTACATCTGTATTCGAACTTTTGGCCCTAGAAACCAATGGAATTATTTTACCACAAATCAACAAATGTGCCTGAGGTGCATGGGAATATAGTTAGCTATCCTCTGAAGATACATTATGGCTTTTAAAAACAGAGCACACAACGTAGAAGCATGTAAGAGTAAAGAATTGTATGAGATGTTCCTTTTTTTGATTCACAGAGTCGGAAGCCTATTGCAGTTCTGTAGCTTGGAATTTCATTTGAGCAATTTACTATAGGATACGTATTTATTAATTGTTATTTAATATTTTTCCAATTTTACCTGTATTACCAAACTGGTAATTATTCTCCGATAATGTCCAAATTGTATTGTTGCCTTGCTTCAAGATAAAGTGTATTCGGCAATAACATAAATCTTTACAAATTTTATGCATGTATCTATTACATCCTTCAACTTTTACTAGAAAATCTTTGAAACCGAATGGATTAATTTATGCCTATTTATAATTTGCTTTGACATCTCACTGCTGCAAATTCTTTTAAATGAGATTTGCCTTTATAATGTAAATTGTGATTTTTTTTGTTTTACATGTGGGTTTCTATAGTTTTAATTTTTTCAGCTTTTATGATACAACAAGTTTTGTGTAATTTGGTATAATTTTTAACTGTATGTTATTTTAAAAGCTCAGAATATCACATTGAAATTACTATAAATACATTTAAAATTATCTATTTTAGATCTAAGGAAATATTACAGAGATATTTTCATGGGTTCAGTAACCTTTCGTTTTATAACATTGGGCACGGTACAGAGTGGTTGTCACATAAGGTACTTGAAGATTATTTAGTTTAATTCTATTTTTACAGTAACCTTGAATTCTTAAATTCTTCTAAGTTTTGCATGTATTAAATCCAACTAATGCTGAACATGAAGAAGAGCAAAGTATTTATCTAAAAGAAGTTACTGGGGTAGGAGAAGTCGTGAATGTATCCATTTACACATGGTTTACATGTTGTGGATGCTTTTGTAAACATTTTCATACATGTTTAAATTGTGTTTCAGTAAGTTGTAATTGCCTTTGTGTGTAGTTGAAATGAGTCTTCATTTGGTCCTGTGTGAAATGGAATTCATGGTATTTTCTGTAACGTTTTCCTGAAACTGTTTCTGGAGAGCCACACATCTGAATACAGACAGCTGTCCTGATCACTTGATTTATTGTATATCTGATTTTTTTTGGTCTCAAAGGAATTACTGCCACAATATATTTTATTTATTCTTTAGATTTTAGCTTTGTAAGTTAAAATGCTTTACATGATGGTGTTACAAGCTATTTGTCCCTTTACTGGGTTTGGGGGTTTGTTAAAAGATAGGGAATGAAGAATGCAAAAATGGTTTATTGTTCCTACTGTCCACTCTGATCCAACCCTGTACTGATAGTACCTTTCCAGTATGATATTGTGATGTTTCATACGATGCAGTGAACATAACCAACTTGTTACCTAAATAAAGAATTGATTTAAAAAAAGTGTGACATTACTATTTGGTGTGCATGTCAAAGTTAAAAATCTAGTTTTGAATGTTACTTCAAACATTTTATGTATTTAGCATAATTGTGTACATTTCCATACAAAACTGTATAGATGGAATTCTAACTCCAAAGAGGAGCTAACCAAACCATGTAGGACAATACTGATTAGCACCAAAATCCCTCTCGTAAAGCTGTGCACGATGGCTCACGCCTGCATCCCCGCACTTGGGAGACAGGGGCAGCCTGCCTCAGTCCCAGGCCAGGCTGAACTATAAAGCAAGACTTTGTCTCAAAAAATAAACGAACAAAAACCTTCTTTTTTAATAGTTGAGGAAAAACAAAGCTGTCATTTTCAATGGAGTTAGTGGCCCTCAAAATAAAATAACATGACTTAATAAAAGAAAAACCCAGGTTTTGTGTTTACTTATCTGAATCCCCTAATCCAGCTCTTCTCAGACATTGTGACCTCAGGGCCCACTTACACTCTTCTGAATTGAATATCCCAAAAGAGGGGCTGGGGATTTAGCTCAGCGGCAAAGCACTTGCCTGGCAAGCGCAAGGTCGTGAGTTCGGTTCCTGGTACCGGAGAAAAACCAAAAAAAAATTAAAAAAAAAAAAAAAAATGAATATCCCAAAAGAGCTTTTGCTTTTGTGGGTTGTATCCATTGATATTTAATGTTTGAAGTTAAAATGGGGAAATTTTACATGCTGTTATGAAATATGTTAATATAAATAGCATTGCTTTATGAAATACAATTTTCCAATTCTGAAAAGTTTAGTGTAAACGGCGACACTGGTTTTGGTCATTGTAAACCACTTATTGTTGGGCTTGGAGTCTCATATCTGCTTTTGTGTTCGATCTGTTGCAATGTGGCACATTGGTTAAAGTATGTGAGGAAGTCTGGCCTTACACAGATACGTGTAAGGATTGCTGTGAGTTCTGTTCGAGAGCTGGAGAGTATTTTAATAGCTCCAGGTAATGGTGGATACCAGAACTTGACAACATAGTGTATTGAAGGTTAGTTGGAATGTGAAGTCGGAAACCTTATCAAAGGACTCCTTGTTCCCTGTTACTTTAAAATCCTTTGGGTGTATGCATCTTCCGTTTTGATTGGCTCTTGTTCTGACGCATGGTTTGGTAATACCGTGCTTTGGTCATTTGAAAGATACTGGTTCACTGAAGTATGCAATTCTTCTGAATGTTGACACATTATTATGCAACAATTAAAATGTTTGTTAATATAACTGATCTTATGAAAAACTTGTGAAGTGTTGGGAAGCTTGTCAAGCTCATGATGGGAAGGGGTTTTTCAAAATTCTAATTTTCTTTTGAAAGGTGAAGTTTTATCATTGGCAACAAATATTGTCAGTTGTTTTCTCCTGAATAACCGTAGTCTGTCAGTCCTTCTTTGAAGTTAACAATAGTGCTCTGCGAAAAGTGACTAGTGCGATGCACAGCTCAGATAATCTCACAAGAGACGTTACACATGACGTGGATATGCTTTAGCACCAGGACTAACCATTTATCCTGTAGGGTGTTCAGAAGATACTTACCCAGGGGTAGAGTTTAATAAAATTAATTTTCTAAAGTTTCATCGAGAACATTGTTAACTCAGACTGGCTCTCCCCACCCCCATTAGTATGTGGCTAACTTAATTAATTAGTTAACTAATAACTAATCATTATGAATCTTGATTTGTGCTAAGGTACTTGCACTTTTACCAACTGTTTTTTTTTTTTTACATAATGGGTGCAAATGTCAATATGTTAAAAAATAAAAAGGCTGTTGGGGTTACTTTGAAAAATATTTTGATTTCGTGGCTCTCCTTGGAAGGTTCACTGGGGTCTCCAGCATTTTATATTTCCTTCCCTGCTCATTCTGGAGAGCTTCATCGTGTCTTTCTCTGAAAGATCACAGTATAATAGTAAGTGTGTCAACACGTGTAAGTGTGACGGATTTACCAGAGGTGGCTGAAAGTGCACTGTAACACTGCAACTTTACAAGCAGCATCTACACGGTGGAAATTTTAATGTCTTGAAGGGTTGATTTTTTTCTAGAAGATTTAAGTGATACATTTAAATTTGAGAGATGTGTGATATACTGTTAAACTGAGGTAATTTTTAATCTTTTGTCTTAAGTTCTTGGTCTGTGGAAACGTGTTATTTCCTTAGAAATTTCTCAACTCTGGAAATTGAATC